CCCGGGGCTGCCGTCCCGTCCCTCCGGGTGCCCCTCTCAGAGGCGGACCCTGCCCGGCCAGAAACCGGGCTCCTTCTGCGTCCCCTCCTGTGATGTTTTGGTCCTTTTGCCCTTTACGGTTTCTAATGAAGATGAAGTAAGGCGGCTGCTGCTGTTGCTGCTCTTCGTGGACCCTGCAGAAATGTTCAATTTATCTTGGCTTATAGGAAATTAAGACCGTTTTAGAAAGACATTGTCACTAGCTCTGCTGCCCTTGGGACCCATCTGCACGTTGCCAGGATGTCTCTGTCCCTGACTGCTGGATTATTTTTTTTTTTGGGGGGGTGGTGGTGGTTGGGTTTTTTTTTGTTGTTGTGGTTTGTTTTTGGTTTTTTTTTCCTTTTGAGGAGGGAGGGGAAGGTGCCAGTGGATATATAGAAGAGAAGCAGGATCTTTTGGACACTCTTCGCTTAGAATTGATAGTTGTAGTTACACTTGTAATCTGTGTGTCTGCTGAATCATCTCACGTTAAGGGAGAGACTTTTAAGTCCCCTTTCACTCCTTCCTCTATCCCCTCTGCTCATTTTTCTCAGCACAACAGCAGGGAGGTTAGCAACCCTTGTCTGAATGTAGAATACCCTGGCAGCCGGGGACCTGGACATCGTGTGTCTTTCCTCTCACTCCGTGTGACAGTTGCAAACACACTCATGGCTGTCCAGATTCACAGAGTATCTTGTATTTCTCTGTGTTCGTGGCAGTGAAATGTTTTCCTAACAGTGTCATCCCCTCGGTTGATTTTTTTTTTTTTTTCCCCCCATTCTCTTATTTGTTCATGTGTTTGTCTCTTAAGTTTGACCACGTTTGAAGTGTCTAACTTCAGGCCCTTTAAAACACACTTTTACCGCAATATTGAGCATCCCTTGAATTATGCAAAATTCCTAAAATTGCAGATATTGTGAGGAGAGGGCATGGAAAGAACTGCCTGGATGTCAGGAAAGGGAACAGAGAGAGGAGAGAGGAAAAAAACCCAAGAAACTAGCCAGACATCAAATGACAGATTTAAGCATTTTCCTGTTGTAAATGCTGGCATTACATGTTACAGTAATTATATGCTCTGGGCTACTGTTACAGTGTTTGCTGGATAGTAACCTGAACTTACGAAGTGAATACAGTTGTTTTTGGATAATAGTAATATTTATAGCCAGGATTATTCACAGCAGATGTCCTATGCATATAGGCTTTATTAAATATGCTTTTAACTTTCTGCCCTGCAGTGTTAAAGCCTATGTACATCGTGAAGAGAATTTTTCTCTTTAAAATTAGATGTATTAAGCAAGAAGTAAAATCTAGAGTAAATAAAGGCCATCAAAAGTGTTATAAAAAAAGATGATTGTATCTTAGCTGTATGTAGAAGCAAAGAAAATGGGTACCTACTATCAAAATTGCATTATAGTTATTAAATGCATATTTTGACTTGTCAGAATACGATACTGCTGTGTTTTATTACATCTAAATCTTCTGTTGCTTTTATCTTAAAATCTGGCAACCAGGATATAAATATCTAAACATTAACCTGTGTATATATATGAATTATGTTAAATATAATGTTGTAGCTGTACTGTAGGAAAAATGGTTTTCTAAGAATGAACAATTTTTGTATTTTATTTTTAGGACGCAAACTATGCATTAATTCAGTTGCTTCAATGAGCAGGATAGGTGTTGTGTTTTTATATAAATTTATATAAATATAATTATACATTTATAAAATATTCTTTTCCATAATAAAATCCCAAATGTAGCTTAAGCTTATTAAGGGAAACCTGGTCCCATATCCATCACTTGCTATTACTTGCTATTTCTTTTAGCATCTAAACATTTTGAAGGGATGCCGTACTTCCAGATTTCCTTTTCAGTGTAGCTTCATGAATTAGACAAAAAAGACCTAATTCCTCCTCAAGTTAGTTGGATTGTGTCAATAATGCCTGAAAATATTAGTTGTTCCTCTCCACAGTGTGTACTATTTGATAGAATTAGAACTTGGTAAGGCTTTTGGAGAATAGGAGTAAATTTATTTTCTTCCATGCAGCTATAACTAGAACACTTACGGCCTTTTCAAAAAACGTCCTTTTCAGCATAACCCGGTTGGCATTGATGTTACTTTACTTTTCTTTTGCTGTCTCTTTCCATAAATATGTGCAGGGAGATGAACTTTGTTTAACCCACTGAATGAGCATGGTTGAATCTGAGCCTGCAATCTCATTATTCTCCCTTGAGAGAGTATTAAAACTTATAATAGTAAAGGTGAATAGTTTTGTTCTTAGTTGTGATGGTGTCTGTACACAGGTAAGAGGAAAAGCAAGTTGAAGTTCACAGCAATTTAAAAGTCTTTGTGTATGAAAGAGCAAATTCTTGATTCAGACAGATTTGATCAGAAAACCACCCAGATATATGGGGATTGCGTGGGTGTAAGCAAGTAACGTTTGGGCCTGTGTGCTTTGAAGGTGGTTCTTTTATTAAAATCTCTAGAGGATGATATATAAAATACATATATAAACTATAGGTTTGGAGTTAAAGGAAAGACCTTCTTGGTTTTGATTTTTTTTTTGTAAAATTTTCTAACAGTCATTGCCACCACATTTGCTAATTCAGTAAGAGTTTTTCATGGACATCTGCCCTTCATTAGAACAGTTTGAGAAGTCATGACAGCTGTAACAGTGGGCTTGTAATTCCTCATCTGTCGGCATATTGTTATACTATTTAAAATGAAGGAAGAAATGAAAATAGCTAACTAGTGTCAGAAGCTTGAAAATAAAACATTAACTTGACTTCTGAAATATACTGAGATTTCTTGTCGCTCGTGTTCTCTGACAGCTTTGTTGCCTCATGTTGCCTGAACAGAATTTCTCAGGAAAAAGCTTCCTTATATCCTCTACCAGCATGTTTACCGCTCTAGAATCGTACCGTTTTAGTAAATACAAACAGTCCTGTGTTAGTGCCTTTTGGTTCTGTGAATGTTTCCATCAAGCATGCCAAGCTGTGGATTTTGTAATGTGGAAACCCCACATGGTGGACTTGGAATAAGCCCACAGATATATTTCATATGGGATAACAGAGAGTCTTAAGATAGTAATAGCTCTCAGTTTTTAACAAACTATGCTAGATTTGAACCGGTGGCATAGTGATGAGATAGCTAACTCATGATATTGCCCAGCAGTTGAAAAATATCATTCACAGTGAATGGTGTTATACTTGCAGAATTATGTTTCCTGCTTAACTACAATAACTTATGCTTTTTGTATATATAAGGGTTTATTATTTATTTGGTATGGGATTTAAAATGACCAACTCCTGAATTATTGTTAAGATGTTTATGGCAAAACTTTTCAGTACTAAGATTACTGAAGTCCTGTAACACAGGCATTATGTATTAAGACAAAGACATAAATCTTGTGTGTTATTTCCTTAAGGCATGTAAGAAATACTATTGGACAGTTTCTTCTGAAAAAGCTAACTTCTGTTGTTTGTTTTTTGTTCAGTGCAGCATCTGCCATGTCTACAGAGGGGCAGAGAGTGGATGATAGTCCAAGCACTAGTGGAGGGAGCTCTGATGGAGATCAGCGTGAAGGTGTTCAGCAGGAACAAGAAAGGGAGCAAGTTCAACCCAAGAAAAAAGAGGGCAAAATATCAAGCAAAACAGCTGCTAAACTGTCAACTAGTGCTAAAAGGTATGGTGTTCTTTCTGGCTGTTTATTTTCCTTTCTGTTTTTTCAGCTGACTATCAGATGTATGTATTGACTCAGTATATTAATTTTCTTATATTATAATATAATTAAAATGTTTTATTATAACACTACTATGTCAGTGTAATAGCCTTTTGAGACTGGTCACAATAATGAGACCTGTATACTTTTTTCCTTTCTTTGACAGATTGGCTCTTTCACATGGTTTTAATAGTAGCTTGCATGATAAAAGCTGACATTTTTTTATTGCTAGTAAAAGTCAGACAGTTTTGTAGCCTTATAAAATATATCTCTGTATGTGTATGTATGACTGATGTTGAAACTTGTCAGTGTAACTTACAGTTAATTAACCATAAACATTTCAGACAGTTCAGTAACTCAGCATGTTAGGACTACCGTAATACCTATTGCTGTAAAGTACTGCGTTTCCTTTTCCCAGATGGTCAGGTCAGAAATATTTGAGTGAACAACAAATGCATGTTGGTTTCATTACTTTAAACTGTGGTCTGTTTTAATACCCACTTCTTTTCCTTCTCTTTTCTGCTTGAGAGGAAGGGTGGGTTTGTAGAATAGCTATTTAAATTATTCTATGCTATCATGTCAGTCTCCAGATAACAACTGTGTTGCTTGGACCAGACGGAAGGAATTTACAGCTTAGTGTTGCTCCATTAGTACACGTAGGGGTGTTAGTCTAGGCAGCAGAATTCAAATGGCATTACAGCGATTGAAGTTAAAAAACACTTTTAAAATAATCTGACAAGAGACCAATTCTGCAGACTGTCCTGATGCAGAATTCCCAGATCCTGTTTCTTTACTAATTCAAGGCCATGTAAACTACAAGAAAAACCATTGGAGTTGTGCCGCTATGGTGCTGTGGTAAGGGAGAAGCATCAAGGCCCTATTGCCATAATCTATAACATATGCGGATAGTAGGAGTCCGTAAATACCAGTATATAAACGTGTGTGTACATCTCTTCAGGATTAAAGTCTTTGTCTTGGATTAATCTGTCCCTTACCATTTACATACTTTTCTGAACTGAAGTCTCTTCTGTCTTTCCAGTGAGGTATTGTCATGCTTTTCTTCTGCCATAGATACCTTCCTTACAGCTAGCCTTTCTTCTTTTTTTCTTCCCTGATGAAATGTTTTTCTGAAGACCCATTCCTACTATGACACTATTCGGAGATTACGTGGTCATATCACTTACAGGATGGCCAGCAAAGCTTGCCCATGTTTCCTTTTATGACTAAAAGAAAAAAAAAAAACCACCAGCTTTCACTTCAAACCATGATGTTATTCATGTAGTTAATCCTCCCAGCCGTTACGGTTTCTGGCCTTCTTCTCTTTCTTCTGCTTCTTGCTATTGTTATTTTTTAAATATTAGGAGTATTGGACTAGTCATGACTTTTAAGGTCATAAAAAACAGTTTTTAACATCTTTAGAAAAGAGTCTGTGTATTCTGAACTTTGTACAATGCCTAATGTAATGATGCCACAATTCTGACAAGGGCCTGTGGACGCTATCCTATTAAAAAATTAATAATGATATGTCAGAAATTGGTCTATTAATCTTAGCTTTGTATCTTCAAAGCTTAGAGCTTTTATCAACCTTTTAAAGTTTAATCATATCTGCTTATGGTTCTGCTGAAACTAATTATGCCAGTTGCTGACATCGGTACGTTTGCCAGTTAGACTCTAAAGCCAGTTTCACATGTGTACTAATATTGAAGGAAAGCCTTTGATACGCATTTTAAAAGCTGAGATGATTTATAAGAGTTCTGTAGATATGTGCACAATAAAAAATATTTTTGAAAAAAGTGTATTTTAGGAGTGCTGGTTGTCATAGCACTTTGTGGAAGGATCACAGCAACATAGTATTTATAGTAACGTTTTTTTAATGGTGTCATAGTATTTTTCTTTTTTTTTTTTCTTTTTAGTATTCAGTAGTTTGACACTGTGTTAGAATTGGGATTACATTTCTATAAACATTCTTAATCTGGCCAGGTTTTCATATTACAGGTTTTGTTTCTTTGCTTTTTAATTAAAATCAGTAATGCCTCGAGAAAGGAAAATCAGAAATTAAAGTAGAGGATAAAAAGGAGAGGAGTAACATGAAGGAAGGAAAAATGGCATAGGGTCCTCAATACGTGATAAGTATTACAGAACCTGTGTATATAAAATACCTTCATAGTATTATTATTATTATTTTTGTTCATTAGAAATGAAAAATAGTGCAGGAATAAGGCTATACTCCTTCAATGGGAGTGTTGTTCTTAATCAGGATCTTTCAAAAATTGAAATAAATTTAAGTAATTCAGCTGTCCTAGCGAAAAAGACTGAATAGATGCTTGGCAACTTTTTCCTTTCCTAGCTTTGAATTCTGTGGGTTTGTATGGCATTACTCTAAAGTCACAATAATCTTTACTTAAGTGTTTCACTATGCAATTCACTCTAATAACTCCATTATAGTTAAAGGAGTCAACTCTGCTAAAATCAATAAAAACCCCGAACAACAGAGTGTACTGCAGTTGCGGCTTTGGTCAAGATTCCTTAATTCCTGTTTAGAGCAGAGAACACCAACAAGTTAACGTAGCACTGGCACAGACTACAGACTTGAATCTAACCTGAGTTTGGAAGTCACGTTTTCTCACTTGGAAAGCTTTTTCATGCATATGGAATTGTAGTCACAGTATTTTTGGATTACATTATGATACTTACTGGGTATCTTGGATTAGAATGAAGATTTGTGCATCCGTATTTGGAATACTTCTCCTTTTTATTTGTATGTTTAAGTAGTCAGTTAGATTTAAAGAATTTTCAGTAGCATTAGGTTTTATATAAATCAAGATTTAGCAGTGTGCTGACTTTTGCTTGTGTAAAAGTAAACTGCTATCATGTCTTATGTATGAATATACTACTCCTGCAGCTTACTGCTTTCCAAAATGATCTGATTATGGAGGCTATATGAAACCACTTGAATTCATATTTGAGTAAGATTTTTGTTTTTAAGATACTGAGTTTCTTCTGTTAGCATTGCTATAGATGGCATCAAGAAGGCAGAATGCCATCACATGCCATCCTTCTCTGTTAATACTTTTAGGACTAGCTGCTGTACAGGTGTAATAGCTTACAGCATATGTCATACAGTGTGCCGGTCCTTCAATTTTCCTCACCCAGAGGGCATCACCTTAAATAGCAACCTTTCTTACCTAACATGTCAAGATTGAGAAACTCGCTGCATATCACAATTACAGTTCAGACACGGAATTGAATTGCTGTCCTTGAAAACAGCAGGCATCTTGTTACCTCTTAAGTAGCAAATCTTAGCATGACCTTTGGATTGAGAGAAGTGTAACCATTCTTGGCTGACATAGTAGCTCAACAAATAAATGTATTGTTTTGCTTGGCTCCTGAAGTTGATAGTTGAAAATCTGTCAACCTTTGTGTCCAGCCCTGGAATTTTTTTATAAATATCTGTGCCTACAATGAATTGTGAACTTTAAAACTTTAGTTGTAATCTTTTCTTTATTGAAAGAAGTTACAACCTTAAGGAGCAGCAAATAGGTAATGGATTAAATTTGTTTGAAATTCAACAAAATAAAAATGAGCTTTTTCTTCCCCTCTTTTTTTTTTGTCAGAGAAGTTTATCACAGCACTATTTTCAAGGAATTTGGGAGTAATATTTAGCATGTTGAATGTGACGGCAAAATATGGAGTGCTTTTTTCTTATAAGAAATATCCTTGTCATTTATTGTGCATCTAGTATGGAGGCAAGAATGTTTCTTTTCCTCCAGCATGAATCTAACCATCTTTAGATCAATTTCCTGCTCAGTCACAGTTTATATAAGATTGAAATACATACCAGTGATTGCATTTCTTAGTATTTTCTAAATAGCATATTCTTCAGTGTGGAGTATTGGTTTACCTGGCTTTTACGGGTAGAGAGGCATGTATTTTGGAAAAGCAGACGTGGTAAAAATAGCTCATTGTCATATAGTCCTTTATTTTGCTTCTTTTCCTATTAATCATATTGGGAAATCCTCTGATATGTTCAGTTCTCTCTTAGCTTTAGAGAGCTTTAACTGTTTCATGAAGGAAACAACACACAGTCCCCCTAGGCTTGGAACAGTAGTAAATATGTGTCTGTGAGAATTAATAATATTTGAAATCCACAATGTACTTTCATGCTTCTGAATTTAGGGGTAGATTAACCTTTGCACTATTACTGAAAGGCAACTATGTTTGTTCTTTTCTGTTCGTCAAATGGAGGGGAAAAATATTTTTATACGCGTGTGTGTGTGTGTATATATATATGAGAGAGAGAGGGGTCAAATGACTTCTTTAAGACCAAACAAAGAGTGTCAGATCTGACATTGCAAATTAGATGTGTACAGCCCAGGGCTTTGATTACTAGCAAGGGCTTCTCCCCCTGCCGTCACCCCGCTCCCCAATATATAGTAAACCAGTATGTCATTAGTTTAAATATAAACTGTATATATATATATAATGACTTTAATTTAGAGTCCTTTTTCCTCTCTGACATAGCTAAACATAACTGTACTGAGGCAGAAAATCCAAAGAGATGCCAGAAAGGACCCTGCAAAAAATGTTTTGTTGCCAGCGGCCACGTATTCTCGCGGTGAACCCTCTGTGATCAGCAAAGGAAATGAGGCACATCCTCTCCTATGCCAGATTCTGAGGGCATCTCAATGGAGATATGAAACAAGTGCCAGAGCAGTGGAATAACTCGTGCAGACAAAGGCCGGCTTGCACATTGGAGGTCTCTATCAGTGCAAGGCTCTCTGGGATGTTGTCTAACGATTTAATTGTAACTTTGAATGCTGTGACATGTGAACAAGCTATTGCGTGTCAGCTGCTCTACAGAAACTGTTTATGAATGTGCTCTCAGCATGAATGCAAGGTAAATTAAGGTTGCAACAAAAGAGGTGTAAGGTGTATATATTAATTTTAGTTTGGGATGCCACAGAGTAGGAAAATAAACACGGACAACTTGCTGAGGAGCAATTGATGGACAGTATCGTATTAATATGTTGTATCTTGTTTGTATAAAATTAATCATGAATGAAACATCTCTTTATCTTAGATACTTGCAAAAGCAATTAGGACTTTTGAACATACACAGAAAGTACCATCTGATCAATTTTTATCGCTTGAAGCAGAAAGGTATTTTGTTCTTTTTTGCTCAATCACAGGAAAAGCTTGAAAAAGGACCATTTTAGTGCTCTTGGCATTAGAAGTTAGAAATTTTGTGTTGAATTAGAACAGAGGGGAAAAAAGGAGAGAGCTCTGTACCCTTTTGTTTTCAGAATGGAAGGGACATGGGTTAGGATTTAGGAGGAAGAATATAAGGTTTTTGATCTAGGACTTAAGCTGCACTTGTCAATCCATTCTTGATGTGTCTCAGACTCATTGTAATGCAATGAAATATTAACTGCTCTTACTACTATATGTAAAGCAAAGGAGTAATCCCTGACTCTATAGAAGTTCAATGCCATCATTCTGTAACTTCCCAAAAGGCAGAAAAAGACAAAAAAACCCGTAAAACGTGAAACTGAAGATTCCATGCTTTCCATGATTTGAATTTGTGACAGTATAAATTTCAAAAACACAGCAGAAATTTGTCATACGCAGAAGAAATATTTTAAGCATCTCCCACACTTGTAAGATCTCCCTTGTAAAAGGTGTGAACTGTTAGGATTATTTAAATGGAGTAGCTTTTTAAAAGCAACATGTTTGTTGTGCTTAGACTTCACTAATCAGATTTTCCCTTTTAAAAAATATGGTGGATTTTCAGTGTTACTACAATGACTTGCTGCAAATATTGATTAAGCAGCCTGTGCCTGTATTTTTACAAGAAAGGAATGTTATTTATTGGGGAAATTCTATGTACTGGAGATGTAAATATTTCAATGACTAGAAAAAGCAAATAAACATCTAATTTCTCCCCCTCTACAGAGTAACTAGTGTGTGTGTATGTAGGGTTGGGGTGCATAGAGGTTAGAAGGAAAGCTAAGCATCTGAAAGAGTATTTTTGTCTTTTCAACGATATCGGCTGATCTAATAAACGATTATTACCTCTACCTACAAATCTTGTCCACGTATGTCCTAATTATTTCAGAATGTGAACGATAAAGGATTGGAGTTTCTGGTTCAGGCCAGTTCCTCTACTGCCTTTGGTTCATTTATTCATTATAGCCATAAAATCAACTCATAGTGGCATAAGGGGAATTTTGATAGTGGCTGTGAGACTCCTTAGCATGTAAGATTGTGTTTGGATTTTAACATTATATAGAGAATTAAACTACTCATTTTTATGTTATATATGCCAATATATCTGAATGTTTATTTTGATAAACCATTTTCTTTGCCTGTATTTATGTGCAAAATGGGTGGCAGTCATTTTTAACAAGGTGTGTGTGTGTACTTCAGGTCAGGCCTGAACTTTTGGGTTGTGGCTTGAGCACGTATCTCAGGAATTTGTGTTGTATTATCATGCAGGTTTTCTTTCTTAGTGTAGGGAATAACAAGAATAGCAATTTGCTCCTGTACATGAAATCCCGTGAAGGAGAAGGGAAGAAGAAAATACTGAGGGTACACTGAATTGGTTTTCTTTTCCTTCCTCCTTCTAAATGTTCATGTTTTTGTACTGAAGTAGCCTATAAAAAGCCTTGGGCGTAGTTTATAGGGCAGGTGGCCATCGCAGTCCTGCTTATGGCGTCATACTCTGGCAAGGCTTTGGGAACTCCTACAAGTTCCTTCGGGAACTCTGTAAACTCCTACTCTGCATGTTTAACTTTCTTCAGAGGGGGATATACTGGCTCTGATGCAGATGCTGGTGTAACGGAAAAGAGCCCGTATTGCCAGATGTGGCAGAGATCAGGAATTCAAGGACTTGGCATGGGAGCGTCAGCCTGGGAATATCCAGAAATCCTTAACAACGAAGTTGCTCTGCCTGGAGGAAGACCTCCAGCAGGATGCCCGTAATGAGTGCAGTACTGCCAGGATCTGTACTGGACCTGCCCAGCTTCATGTCTTTATCAGCGACCTGGAGGATATGGCAGAGTGCACTCTCAAGTTTGCAGATGACGAGTTCAGGGGGAGCAGCTGGTACACACAGGGGCAGGGTTACTGCTCAGAGAGACCTCGGCAGGCTGCAAGAGGGGGTTGACAGGGAACTCGTGAAATTCAACAAGGACAGATGCAACATCATGCATGTGGGAAGGACCAACCCCTTGTAACAATACCGGACGGGGGGCAGCTCTGCTGAGAAGGATATGGGGGCCCTGGCAGACAGAAAGCTCAATGTGAGGCAGCAACGAAGGCTAACTGCCTCCTGGGCCGTATTAACAGGAGCATAGTCAGTAGGTAGAGGAAAGTGCTTTATCTGCCTTTACTTAGCTCTCATTAGACTGCATCTGGAATAACGTGTACCCAGTTTTGGGCCCCCTAGTACAAAGAAGGCACACGTTGGAGCAAGTCCAGCAGCAGGTCCCCAGCCTGCCCAAGGAGCTGGAGCACTTCCCTTTGAGGATAGGCTTCGGGGGGACCTGACAGCAGCCCCCCGATACCTAGGAGGAGGTTATGGAGAAGACTGGGATGGGCTCCTTCCGGGAGAGTAAGACAACTACCCTCTGAAGTTGGGTTTTTTGCCCTGCCAGTACAAGATACATTAAGAAGTTAAATATGCTGGAGAGCAAGAGCTATGAGGCATGTAGGCAGAGGGGAAATAGAGAAGGAGCATATACGAGACATTTAATTGTTGTGTAAGTGAGCAAAGGAGCTGAGAACCCTGACCTACAGAAGAAGTGGGATTTTCTATGTGGCTGCTCATAATTTGTCCCAGATTGGAAGCTTGTTTTTCAGAAAAGATTTGATTTTTAGATCAACATTTTCTTGAGCAGTTTCATAAAACCTTATAGCATCAGCTTTCCATCAGAAATTATAAGAATTAAGTTTTATTATTATTGATTGCTGTAGAAATGTTCATAAAGTTGAACGAAATATATTGCAAAAAAAGTCCTGATAATATTTTTTTTTTTCTCTTAAGAATTCAGAAGGAACTTGCAGAAATTACATTAGACCCTCCTCCAAACTGTAGGTAAGTTCACCTGGATTTTATTAATTTGGAATATGGAAATGGAATATATGGAATTATGGAAATTGCATAGGGGACTGGAGTAAATTTTAGCTATTCCTTTGTGCTGATTACTTAGTAATTTTGGAATAAAAGCTGATAGATAATGTTTGCCTACATACAAGGAATTTTTATGACATACTTCCTGGTAACAAAAGTAATGATAAAAACTGATGAACTCTACAATGCATTAATAGATACAGGGTAAAAATCAAATCACCCTTCATTTGAGGTATTAAATCAATAGCATTTTGTTTGATTCTGTAAAATGTAATCTTGGTGGCAGTTGCCGGTATGTTTGATTCCTTTTTCTTGCAAATTGTTAACACGCTGTGAATATAATGGAGAAGGAAAAATGTTATAGGCACAAACTATTATTAATCTTCCAACTGTGTTTCTGGTGATCAATTACAATATTCAGTGGAAACTTCCTGAAATAGAGTATATCATTGCATAGCCCTTCTAATAATGACTTCGTGCTTGTGTTTTGGTTTTTTTGTTTTGGTTTGGTTTTTTTTTTTTGGTCAGGTACGTTTACTTTCGGTGTGTTTAAAACTGGCTTTGAAATGAGTAATGAGGTAGGCCTAGAAACCCTCGCTGCCTGGTGGCCGGGGCGGTATACAGTTGTTTTCAGATGGCTGTCTCCGGCTTCTTATCTGTCAGCGTGACATATGGTCAGTGTTGGAGCTGGGCCAGGGCTGCACAGCGCTGCTTAAAGGAGCCCCTGCCACCGCACCTCTCGCAGTGAGAGGTCGGGCTCGGTGCAGAGGAATAGCTTCCATCCAGTCCTGCCAACCCATTTCAACTGATGTGGTTAGTAGGATTCATTCTATTAGTGCAGTAAAAAGAAAGATTGATAGAAATGGCTGATTGCATGCAGCTTTTATAATGAATCCCAGTACGTTTCAGTATCGAATTAACTAAGCAACTGGTTGTAAAAATGACAGTCAGCTTTATTGTTTTGGTCTCTTGACAAAAGTATGTGTGAGAAAATATTCTAACAAGATTTGATGTGGTTGTGCTGGATCTCAAGATATAAGTCAAGTGGCTATGTACTAAAGCGCTGCGTAGTGAAGTAGCCTTGCAATAATAGCGTTCAAAGAGTATTTCAGTCAATTAGGATGAACAGTTCTTTGCTAGATAAAACATTTTAATAGCTAAGCTGTTCTGTCATACTTACGACTGCATGTGAGTCTTCAATCACATCAAAGCTGTTTCAAATGGCAGATCTTTACTTAGGTGTTGATGACTGATGCCTATTAGTGGATTGATTTGCTGAGATGAATATAAAACTTCAGTCTGTTGCAGAAGAATGCGTAAGTCTTTGAACTGAGTCTAAAAGGCTTATGGTTTTTACAGCAGTGTCATTTGTTCTAGTTTTCTGAATCCTTCCCTTTGTAACAAAGCAGTTGTTTCAGTATACAAGATACTGTTACTTGATTTTCTTTTGCTAGCAAGTGTAAAGTGAGCATTGGCTGTCTTAGTGGAAAGCCCTTTTCTGACTTGCAATTTAAAAAAAAAAAGTGAGCTGGAGATTTCCTGGTTTGGTTTTTTTTAATTATTTACACTAATGATAAAATAGCAATAAAGTGCACTGCACGTTGCTGTTTTGCAAAATCAAAAAATTACACCTAACTTCATGTGTCTGCTGCTTTAACACAGTTCTTAAGATGCAGAATTATTTCATGTTGTGATCTTGATAGATAACCATTAGTAACTTTACTATTAGCAAATATGTTTTTATAGTCAATACGGCATCACTTCATTTAGTTTTATGCTCTGTTGACATAGTCTAAACAGTGTTTTCATTTGAACTTCATCTATTTTCTATTATAGTTAAACATTACAAAATAAATACACCAGCCAGACATGATTCTTCAGCATAATGAAGAAAGCCAAGCTATAGTACAGAGTATCTTACCCTAAAGTATTGATACATCCTTTCTTGTTTTTAACGAAATTTAGATCATTGTTATAAGAGGTGTTACATTTTCTATTAAAAAAACATATTTCATAAAGGTAAGTTCCTTACAGATGTAGGCTACTTGAAATGGTTGCGATTCCAGCGTGCCTTCACTATATGTCCTCTTTTATATATAAAATAAATCACGATTGGGCAATAGGCTTGTGATAAATCTCAAAACTAAATGTCACAGAAGACGTGAAGGAAAGCTGTATTATTCAAGAATACTCTCTAAGTAGTTATTTAGGAACTTCTGATAGGCAGGATATTGAGCTGAATTGGAACTTGGGTGGAATATTGCAAGATGTGTTGCAAGACTTTCCGTTAACTACAGCAGGCCAAAGCTTCAGGTTTGTCTCATTCAGGAAAAAAACCCAAATAGAACAGTATCTGTAGTACAGTAGCATCCCTTAATGGCATGCTAGGCTACACAGTCAGTACAAGCTCCAAGGGAGTTGCAGCTTCCACTTCTGCAGCAGCTGCAGTCTTAACGCTTCCCCCGCCTCATCCCCATGAAGGGAATAGGCTATATAATCTTCTTGTTTGTCTGGAAGACACAAAAAGTCTTGCTCACACACGTGCCTTATAACTGGCAGATTATCACTGCTGCGACTTGCAGCATCTCTCCAAAACTGTGGAAAGCTGTGGATTTCAGAGGTCCTAAAAAATCTGTCATGTTTGGCTTTAAAAGAAGATTTAATGTTATAAGAAATCGGAGTTGCCTGCCTCCATAGGTATTGTTGTATTTCATATTCTGTAGTTTGGGTTCTGGGCAATTGAAAGAGTCCTCTTGACTCCCCAAACTTTGGATCATTCCTCAGGACTGAGAATGTATAATCTTCTAAGTGTCAGAAAGTCCAGCTGGGGGGCTTGTGGGAGTTGAGCAGTGTAATCATGGCTATTTTTGGAGGAAGGCATGTCATAAAAAAGCCTGTTACACTTCACATTTAACAGAAAGAACTGGATGGTTTTTGGTATGTGTTGTGTCCAATACCTCCCCCCCTTTACTTTTGTATAGAGCTGAATTTACTGTCAAGGAGAGTCCTGGATGCTAAGCAGGTATATTTGTATTTTAAATCTGCAGCATTGTGAAATTTTAGTTTGTCAGGAGACAGTATACCTAAATTGTAGACGTTTGCCACTCTTCTTTTTTTTTCCTCCTCACTGAAATACCAAAGCTTGATTGCTAGAAATGTTGCACATATTATACCTCTGAGTAGTGCAGAGTATACCTTTTCTCACAGGCGATAAAAACCTCATCTTTAAGTATCATTTTCATATATTGCCTCGCTGGAAGAAGGGAATAGTTGGGAATTCTTGTAGCTAAAATAATGCCTTTTCAAACTTTACCATATTTTAGACTGCATCTTGTCCAAGACAATAGATTTCGTAGAATACAACTTCTATTGTCAGCGTTGTATACTATTTCCCTTCTCACTGGCAAGAGAACAACATCTCTGTGGCAACTTATACCAATTGCTTACATGGGAAAATAATATTTGGAAAGAAGTTAATGTATTTTTAGCTTCTTTCAATGTGAACTTAGCAGCTGGAAAAAAGGAGAGCCAGCACAAAGCGAATAGCAGCTCTCTGTGGACACCACTTGGAGCAACTGCTCAAAATTTTCCTATTAAGTCACTGTTGTTCCCTATCTTCCTCTTTGTGTTTTCTTTTGATGTTCTCTAGCATATTTGTCACCATTCTTCTCTTTTCTGTGTATTTACTGCAATTCCTTTTATGTGTATACATTTTATTTCTTTTTCTGGTAGCAATATGGGTGATGTTTGAGGCTCAGAAATGTACTTTAAAGGGCTGCACAGCTTAGTGGGCAAATTGACTGGTTCTCGTTCCAAAACAATCAATTTTAAACCCTGCATGTAGTCTTATCTCTTCTGTTAGTTTGGAGTCATTACAAATTCCTTGCTTCTTATACTATCTGAAAAATTGATAAGCAACCAACATATCTGATCCTAGTATTTTGCTTGTGAAAAGTAATCACACTGAAAAGACTTAGAACACAGTTCTTTTGGGGGTGATGTAGCGAAGAGCCAAGTGGAATGGCAAGTTACTCAACGTGGCTTGGGGAGAGAGGTCAGCGTGCCTCATGGACGCCTCTTGTGCTGCTAATGACTGTATGGAGACTGACATTCCTGTTCAATATTGCTCTGGCTCTGTTTTTGCTGAAATGGTGAGGCCGGGGTCTTCACGACTCTAAGGGATTATGTGAATTCCATCAGTTTAAGTTATTGTTGTTGGGGCCATTTGTTTAAACTCTTGCCCTGTGCTACTTTAAAGCTAAGGGGATGGCACAAGTGTCAGGAGCAGAAAACAAAAGCACAATTTCATGGGACGACTGGGAGGGAGAAGATTTGCAGCCTTGCTCTACGATGTAGAGAGGTAGAAGTGTAGGCACCTAGAGCAGCAGGTACAGCAAGTATCTGTCGTGCTGCTCTGGCCTACTCCAGTCTCCTTCCTTCCCTCTCACTCGAGGAGCTTGTTAAGGAGGTCTTCCCCTCTTCCCTATGTGTGCACACACACACAAGCACAGGGTCGCTCATGTAGCTTTCCAATGCAAGCAAAGAGATGCCTTAGAGTTTTTTAGATCACATGCTTACATCATCAGTTTGACTTGGGGATGGAAGGGGTCTGAATAACCTTGGTTACGTATGTTTCCTTAAAATATTTGAATAAATGTGAAAATATTTGAAGAAAGCAGAGTAATGCCTTCTCCAAATGCAAAACCAATTCCTCTTGGGTGCTGGAAGGATTCTGTTTTTAAAGCAATTTGCTGAACCTAAATTTGCTTCTCTTTTGGTTAGTCTCCTTTAGCTTGCACAGTTTACATAATGATTTTGGTAGCATTAAGCGCTTGCTCAGTAACACTGCACCTGCTTAGATAGTGTCCACTACCTATTTCACTACCTTTAGATGCACGTTGAGTTCTTTTTACTCTTGTGCAGAATGCACAGGCTACGTCAGTGTGATGCTTCCTTGCTCTGTA